ACACACACACACACACACACACACACACACACACACACACACTGGCAATGCATAGGGGGTACACATGGGTGTACATGCACCCCCTGAGATTGGCAGTGCACCCCCTTTGATCAGCTGCTGCCGATGCTACTAATGGTGCCTGTGGGCAGTCGCTTGCTGCCCCCTCCCCCCTCCACCGATACTGCTGCAGCTGCCACGGGCAGTCACTGTACACCCCCCCCCCCAGCCTCTGGGGGCACGCATTATTCATGACCACACCCCACATACCCACACAAACACACACATGCACATACCTACCAAACCATACCCCCCTAACCTTCCCAATATACAAGAATAAGACTTCATTTTGAGGTATTATGCAATCACCTCTATATACACAACGCAAACATACAAATCAGGACAAAATATGTTTTGAAGTAAAATTAAAATAAGTTATTGTAGATGTTTGATTTTTAATATATAACTTGGGGGGAGGGGGTGTTTCTGGTTCCAAGATGGCAAACCCCCTTCCCAAAAGGAGTACTTCTGGGGGCAGTAGGAGGGATTTCTGCTAACAAAGGTCAGGGGGTTGAGGCAGGACTTCCGGTGCCAAGACGACGACTGGGGGCAAGGCACCTGTCAAGGGGAGGGGCTACCTTTGTGGCCCTTGACAGTTTGCCAAAACTTAAGTGACCTTCCAACCAAAATAATTGCCCACCACTGATCTAAAGTGGTCTTAAACTAGGATTGCCTTATTTTCCATGAAAACAGTATTAGCATATGCTGTTCCCCCCTTTTTTTTTTTTTAAATTCATTAGAGGTATCTCTGTTCTGCATCTAGTATAGGCAGAAGTTAGGGCAGGGTGGCACCTTGGCTACTAACTGTTCCAGAGAGACATGAGCTTTCATAGACAACAGCCTGCTTCCTCTGAGGCTATGACTGGACTTGCAGAAATAAAAGGTTTTCAATAGAGAAGAATTTAAATGCAAAGGAAAAGGGGTTGGGGAAGGGTCATTGCTGAAAGAGACAAAAAGTGAGTTGGAAAAAGTCAGTAGGATAAACAAAGTAATTAATACATTGGGGGT